GCCTCTTCCCGATTTGGACAGCGTCTATCAAACCATCTCCCATAATGAGACTCTCAAATAGAATACAGCTCAAGAGGTCGCGGTGATGAGTTTCGCATCTCAAGCAAATCAATCCCGACAGAACCCAGTTTTCACTCGCGACATTACTCGATCGAATCCCACTGCATCTTCAAGGACCGGGATTGTTAATCGGGATCCTTCTCGACAATGTGCGGCTTGTGGCAAAACAGGACATGAAGCAACAGCCTGCTTCAAAATCGTGGGCTATCCCAAATGGTGGCGTGAAAAACCTCGTAACAGACCTGATTTCCCTACTGCTTTCGCGGGTCGAGGACTAGGCAATCCTCCAAGAGCTAACGTCACCGAGATTGCCACAGAAAACTCTGCATCCACAGGTGTACCTCCAGTTATCACTGATAGTGATCGCCAAGGATTGAGTGGCCTCACCGATGAGCAGTGGAACATGGTCCAACGTATCCTCAATGCTGGCCGATCTACTACTACTCCTTCCAGTGGTAAGGGTAATGATTTTTTCTGGATTATTGATATTGGCGCTACTCACCACATGACAGGTCGCAGAGATCTCTTTGAGCAGATTCACGATGTCCCTCATATTCCCGTGATATTACTAGCAGGATCAGATGCAATATCCTCGAAGCAGGGGACAATTCGTCTCACACCGAGTTTGTCTTTGAAAAATGTCTATCTTGTTGACGGATTTCATACGAAAAATCTTTTGGCCAACTAGTGGACAAGCAACTGATAAACTTAAGATTTTGCAGGACCGCATTACGAGTATGCTGATAGGAGCGGGTGAAAGAGAGGGAGAGGGATTATACCGGTTCCGTGGGATAGAGAGTGCAACATCCTTCAACACTGACGTTAACTGTGATTTGGCCTTGTGGCATCATCGAATGGGGCACTTTTCATCTCAAGTTACCAACACGATCCTTGAGATTCATAGTTTTTCATTTAGTAGTCGTAATTGATTTTTTTTTAAGAATTGTGACATTTGTCTGCGAGCTAAACAGACTCGTCAACCTTTTCCAGATAGTTCTAATAGTGTAAAATCAGTGTTTGATTTAATTCATTGCGATTTATGGGGACCTTACCGAACAACTGCGTTTTGTGGTTCACGTTATTTTCTGACGATTGTTGATGATTATTCACGTACTATTTGGCTATATCTCCTTCGCGATAAAACCTAATTCTCTCAGCAGATTCGAGATTTCTTGACGATGATTGAAAGACAAATCTCTACCAAAGTAAAATGAATCAGCAGTGACAATGGCACTGAGTTCCTATGCCTTAGTCGTTTCTTCCACAAACAAGGGATTTTACACGAGACATCTTGCGTTTACACACCACAACAAAATGGTCGCGTTGAACGCAAACACAGTCATATCTTAAACGTGGCCCGTGCCCTTTGTTTTCAACGTTTTCTTCCCATCGAATACTAGGGTGAATGTGTTCTTACAGCGGGATACCTCATTAATCGGACACCCTCACCACTTCTAGACAACAAGACTCCCTTTGAGAAACTTTTTGGTCATGCTCTGAGATACAAACACTTGCATGTATTTGGCTGCTTGGCACACGCACACACTATAGACTATAAAGGCGATAAATTCACTTCTCATAGTTATACGATCTTGATCGAGAGGTTATCCATATGGGAAGAAAGGTTGGAAATTATACGATCTTGATCGAGAGGTGATATTTGTCTCGCGAGATGTGGTTTTCCAGGAAGACAGTTTCCCTTTCTCTAAACTGGTTCCTACTTTGACACCAGATCCTTCCCTTGTTAATGAAGATGACATTCAGGACATCAGTGATCCTGTCATTCCACCAAGTCTGTCACATGAAATGTCTGTGATTCCTGTTCCCAAAACTGACCTCACTGAACCTCCTCCGCCGGTTTCTGATGAAAATCTAGGTAGAGGATCATATACGGATCCCCTCTACACGTCTTCATGGGTTTAAAGTTGGTTCTACTTCCATCCCTCCTCTCTCTCTACACCGTCGCTCGCTCCTCAGCCATCCTTAGGTCCTCTCTATCCTCTATGTAACTTTGTCTCCTATAACAAGTTTTCGTATAATCATCACAGCTTCTTAATGGCATTGACGGCAAATATTGAACCCCGTTCATACGCGGAGGCCATACGAGACAAACATTGGGAGAAAGCCGTTGATTGTGAACTTGATTTTCTAGAGAAACTCAAGACATGGAGACTTGAACACTTACCACCCGGAAAGAAGGCTCTGGGCTGTAAATGGGTGTTCACCATTAAGTATCGATCGGACAGAACCATTGAACATCATAAAACTAGACTAGTGGTTCTGGGTAACCATTAGAAAGAAGGATTCGATTACAACGAAACCTTTGCACCAGTGGCTAAGATGACTACAGTCCGTGTTTTTCTTGACCTTGCCGCCAAACTGAATCATGAGGTCCATCAGATGGACGTACACAATGCATTTCATCATGGAGATTTGAAAGAAGAAGTATATATGAAGTTACCGCCGGGATTTCTATCAGATGGAGAGACTCGTGGTTGTCGTCTCCAAAAATCCTTATATGGTTTAAAACAAGCTTCTCGCTGCTGGTTTGCCAATTTATCCAAAGCTTTAGAGACGTATGGTTTCACGCACACTGATATATCATGGTTTTTATGGTTTTTAACCATGGTATATGTCTTATTTATAGAGTCTTTTTAGTGTCTTTCAAGTCTTTTGGAGTCTTTTTAGGTCATAGGTACGTTTGGAGCTTAACAGGAGACTTTGGAGCACTTTGAAGCTTAATCAGGATCAAATTCGTCAAGTATGGATTTTGTGCCTTAGTGTCGCTCGACACCATGGAGAGTGACGCTCGACACTTGTCAGAGAAATAAGGAAAAAGCGATTTTGTTTCCTATTTGAAGAAGGAGTTGGGCCCAAACGTTTTCAAGGAAGCCCAAGACGTGTCTTAGAGATATATATAGGATTTTTATTCCCTTTTTACGATGACCTTAGATTTTTGGAGAGAGAGATACTCTGAGTTTTCGGCTTTTGCGATTTCTGAGCTTGGGGAGACAAGTCTGAACTCTGTTCGTTTAGAGAGAAGATTTCGAACCCCTCTATCTATTTCGATTTAATCTATTATTTTCTATTCATCATGTTTGTTGTTTCAATAACCATGTCTGAGTAGATCACCTGTTAGGTTTAGGGTTTAATTAGGGTTTTCTCTGAATGTTCGATTAACTTGCTAGTTAGGGTTCATATCTATTTGTTCTTCATCTTAGGTTGTTCTTAAAGCTAATTCTAGATTGATCACCTAGAACTTAGATCTTAGGTTGCTTAATTGACACGGAAGTGTAATTGAATAACTGGAAAGAACCTAGGGTGAGCAAAGTAGCTATTCGCACAGGAATTTGGTTTAGTTTCTTTGTGAACATATCGAACTTGAGCATTAAGGCTGGTTTAAATCTGTAGGATTTGCAAAGGAATTTGGGATTCTAGGATTTTAACTTAGATAATTCTCACAACGGAAGTTGGTTAATTATAATTTTGTATTTCGAGTTCAAGAACCGAGCTTAATAACTGAACCCTGATTAGTTAAGTTGATCTGCATTCATTGATCTCCTGAAAACGCCCTAGACCTAATCCTTATCACATCGAATTTACAAACCGTTTTCTTTGCTGCTTTATTTATTTATGTCGCATTGCTATTTGTTTCGCGTACTTCGGCTTAGTGTAACTCCATCTACATAAGGTTTATTGAGTGATCTCTAGCCTCTGTGGTTCGACCCCTAGATACTACAACTGCACATCTGTGCTCTTGCAGAGTAGCTTAGGAATTAAACTTTGAGCAGATCAAGTTTTGGCGCCGTTGCCGGGGACTTGATTTCGCCATTAAACCTAGTTTTTGAGTTTCGACTAAGTTTTTTGACCTAGTGTCGAGCGCGCGACACCTTTCTTTTTATAACGTAATTTACTTATTTCGTTTTCTCTCTTTGTTTTTGGTGTTTCAGGTTTATGCATACTCGTGGAACCAGAAGCAACAAGGACATCCCTCTAGTGAATTTGAGCAACGAGGAGCTAGGTGAGCTAGAGCGAACGAACAGGAAAGCAAAAGATCCGGCAATGATGGAAAACGCCAATGGACTTGTTCGTGATGATGATGGAATCTGGAGAGACCAAGAGGGTCATGTGTGCAATGCGAGAGGCCAAAGGCTTGATGGAGATGGCAACATCATTCCACCAGCGCCTTTACCAGTGGATGTTGACCAGAATCCACCACCTGCACCGCGTGGTAATGCTGTGATCGTTCCACATCAGAGGAACGTTCCAGAGGATCGGAATGTGAGGGAACCTGCACCTGCAGCTGGCCGTGGACGAACGCTTGGAGATTACAACAGGCTTGAGCAGTTCTATGCAAATCGTTCTGCGATTCGCACCCCTGCGTTTCAAAGAAACGATTTTGAGCTGAAGCCTGTGTACTACACTCTTGTGGGTCAGCATCCTTTCAATGGCCACTCTCATGAGCACCCTATGGATCACATCGAGAGGTTTGAAGACTTGGTCACCAGCATCAAATACAATGGAGTGTCCAATGATTTCCTCCTCTGCAAGCTGTTTCCTTACTCTCTAGCTGGAGAAGCAGCTAACTGGTTGAAGCAGTTGGAGCCAGGATCACTCACTTCTTCGATGATGCTAGGTCTGAGGAGTTGAGGACGAAAATTTCAACTTTCTCTCAGGAACCAACTGGAGCCTTCAAAGCTTCTTGGGTGCGATTCAAATCGTACCAGCGAGACTGCCCCCATCATGGCTTCAGCGATGTGCAGTTGCTGGGTATTTTCTTTAGAGGTATCGACTGGAGGTATCAGATGGCACTTGATGCAGCAAGCAATGCTAACTTCAACACCAGATACCCAGAAGAAGCTGTTGAGCTCATCGAAAATTTGGCATCCAGCAATAGCACCAAGAATGCTGATCTTGAGCGAAAGAAACAAGCTGGGAACATGGATAGATCGCAGATCGCTGAGGTGAAAGCTAAACTTGACTCTGTGTACAGCCTTTTAGTGGGTAAGAAATCTGTCAGATTCGCACAGGAGGTGGAGAGTTTCGAACCTGAGGATGAAGCTGAGGTGGAGGATGTCAACTTTGTCAGTGGATCAGGATTTCAGGGTCAGAGGTTTTGTAATCAGCAAGGTAACAGAAGCTACAGTGGGAATTACAATGGAAACAATCAGAGGAGTACCTTCAATAGTACCTTCAATAGTAATCAGAACTTCTCTGGTTACACGCCTAAGCCTCAGTACCAGAAGCCCTTTTCCAACAACAGTTTCTCCAGAAATTACAGCACTCCTTCATCTCAACCTCAAAATCCTGACAATGAGATGAAGTCTATGCTGGAACAAATTCTGGAAGGTCAGCAGAAGCTCACCGTGGACTTCAATGGAAAGATGGATGCTCTCTACCTTGATCTGAATGCGAAAATCGAAGCTCTGAACACCCATGTCAAGCAGCTCGATACGCAGGTTGCTCAGACTACGGGTTCTGTTAAAAGGCAAGAAGGTTTTCTTCCTGGGAAGACTGACACCAATCCAAGGCATCACTGCAGTGCTATCACGTTGAGGAGTGGTAAAAATCTGAGTTCTGAGCCCAAAAAGACACCTCCTGCACCTGAAATCGTGGATTTGCAGAGCCGGTGTCGAGCGACACCACAACTAGTGTCGCGCGTCACCAACCACAGAACAAAGCTGTTGATGTTCCGAATCCAAAATCTGCTGAGGAGAAAGCCTACAAACCTAAGATTCCTTATCCAAGGAGCCCTAGGAAGTCCAAGCAAGAGCTTGATGAAGCACGATGCAAAGCCCTGATGGAAAAGCTTGTGATTGAGATACCTTTGGTTGATGCTGTAAAAATCACTCCTGTTATCAGACGTTATGTGAAGCGAATGGTGACCAATAATCTCAGCCATGAACAAGGGGTGATGATGATTTCTGAACAAGTCAGTGCAGTGATTCAGAACCGAATTCTAGAGAAGCTGTCTGATCCAGGAAGCTTTGTCTTGGATTGTTCTATCTTCACAGAAAGATTCAAGAGATCGCTGTGTGATCTGGGTTCAAGTGTTAACCTCATGCCTTATTCGGTAGCTGTCAATCTCGGCATGACTGACTTCAAACCAACAAGGATATCTCTCATCCTAGCTGATCGTTCGACACGGATACCTGAAGGAGTGTTAGAAGATGTTCCAATAAAGATTGGTGACTGCATGATACCGACTGACTTTGTGGTTCTGGAGTATGGAGAGGAGCCTAAGGATCCTCTTATCCTTGGGAGACCTTTTCTAGCTACAGCGGGTGCTAGATCGCTCTGAATGTTGGAGATCTGGTGATGAACTTTGACATGGACAAGCTGATGAAGAAGCCCATCATCGATGGTCAGACCTTTTATGTCGACATTCTCACAGAGTTTGCTGAGGAGATTTTCCATGAGATGCTGCCTAGAGACCCACTGGAGAGAGCTTTGACCACTTCTGCAACTGAAGCTGAACACTTGGACGAAATTTCAGCTTCTTACTCGAAGATGTTGGACTCCAGCGAGCATGTGATGCAGTTGGCATTGCAGATCGAACAGCTCGAGACCCCTGCAAAGGTGAAGCAGTTATCCGATTGGAATGAGGAGAAAGCGCCCAAGATTGAGTTTAAACAACTCCCTGCAGGACTAAGGTACGCATTCCTGGGTTCTAATTCCACCTATCCGGTCATTATCAACTCTTCTTTGAACAATGCTGAGGTTACCTTACTACTGAGCAAGCTGCGCAAGCATTGCAAAGCTTTTGGCTATTCTCTTGATGATATTTCAGGTATCTCACCAGACTTGTGCATGCATCGAATTCACCTGGAGGATGAGTCGAAGTCATCGATTGAACACCAGCGCAGGTTAAACCCTAACCTGAAAGACGTCGTCAAAAAGGAGATCATGAAGCTGCTGGAAGCTGGAATCATTTATCCAATTTCAGATAGTGCTTGGGTCAGTCCTGTGCACGTGGTTCCTAAGAAAGGAGGGGTTACAGTTGTGAAGAATGACAAGGATGAGCTGATTCCGACGCGCACAGTGACTGAACACATGATGTGCATCGATTACAGGAAGCTGAATGCAGCGACAAGGAAGGATCACTTTCCATTGCCCTTTATTGATCAGATGCTGGAGAGACTTGCAAGCCACCCCTACTACTGCTTCCACGATGGGTACTCAGGATTTTTCAGATCCCTATCCACCCAGATGATCAGGAGAAGACCACCTTTACATGTCCATACGGCACTTTCGCATATCGCAGGATGTCCTTTGGACTTTGTAATGCTCCTGCGATGTTTCAGAGATGTATGATGTCCATCTTCACTGACATGATTGAGGATTTCATGGAGGTCTTTATGGATGATTTCTCAGTTTACGGATCATCTTTTAAGGACTATCTGGATAATCTCTGCAAAGTTCTGGCTCGCTGTGAAGAGAAGCACTTGGTCCTTAACTGGGAAAAGTGTCATTTTATGGTCAGAGATGGGATTGTGCTTGGGCACAAGGTTTCTGCAGCTGGCATCGAAGTGGATCGCGCGAAGATTGACGTCATGACAAGCTTGCCACCACCTGATTCTGCGAAATCGGTTAGAAGCTTTCTGGGTCATGCAGGGTTCTATCGTCGCTTCATCAAAGACTTCACCAAGATTGCACGTCCTCTCACTGCTTTACTATGCAAGGATGCTAAGTTTGAGTTTACAGATGAGTGCCTTGCTGCGTTCGAACAGATCAAACACGCTTTGATAAACGCCCTATAGTGTCAGCCTCCTGACTGGAATTTGCCTTTTGAGGTGATGTGTGATGCCAGTGATTTTGCTGTTGGTGCTGTTCTAGGACAGAAGAAGGACAAAAAGCTTCATGCAGTCTACTATGCCAGTCGAACTCTGGATGATGCTTAAAAGAATTATGCTACCACTGAGAAGGAGCTGTTGGCTGTGGTCTTTGCTTTTGAGAAACTTCGACCATACCTTGTGGGATCGAAGGTGATTGTGCACATAGACCATTCTGCACTCAAATACTTGATGCAGAAGAAGGATGCAAAGCCAAGATTACTGCGATGGATGTTACTTCTTCAAGAGTTCGATATTGAGGTCAAGGACAAGAAGGGTGTTGAGAATGGTGTTGCAGATCATCTCTCACGCATAAGGGTTGAAGACGACGTGCCCATAGACGATTTCCTGCCAGAAGAGAATGTATACTATGTGGAAACTGGGTTTCAGAGCAGATTTGACGAAGAATTGCAGGTTTTTCGAATTGGAGAAACGTTAGTGTCGAGCGACACCACCACTAGTGTTGCGCGACACCTTGCTCAGCCGAACACAGAGACTTCTCAAATTCGAAGTAGACTTCTTGAGATCAGTTCAGCTGCTGTATCTGCCACCCAACGTCCTTGGTATGCTGATATTGCCAATTATCTCGCTGCAGAGGCTGAGCCTGAGAACTTTAAAGGGTATGCGAAGAAGAAGTTCCTGAGAGAGCTGCGAAGATACCACTGGAATGAGCCATATCTGTACAAGCACTGTTCTGATGGAATTTACAGAAGATGCATTGCAGAGTCAGAAGTTCCAGAGGTGCTGTTTCATTTTCATGGATCGGAATATGCTGGACACTTTGCGACATTCAAAACAGTGTCTAAGGTTCTTCAAGCAGGCTTTTGGTGGCCTACAATGTTTCGCGACGCACATGCTTTCATCTCGCACTGCGATGCTTGTCAGAGGAGAGGAAAGATAAGCAAAAGACATGAGATGCCACAGAATTTCATCCTTGAGGTTGGGGTATTTGATTGCTGGGGTATCGATTTCATGGGTCCTTTTCCCTCTTCTTATGGGAATAAGTACATCCTGGTTGCTGTTGATTATGTTTCAAAGTGGGTCGAAGCCATTGCCAGTCTCACCAACGATTCTTCAGTGGTTCTTAAGATGTTCAAAACCATCATCTTTCCTCGATTTGGAGTGCCTAGAATTGTTATAAGTGATGGTGGTTCTCACTTTATTAACAAGATTTTCGAGAAACTCCTCAGGAAACATGGAGTTCATCATCGAGTTGCAACTCCTTATCACCCTCAGACGAGTGGACAGGTCGAAGTCTCAAATCGTCAGATTAAGAAGATCCTGGAGAAGACAGTGGGTAAAACTCGAAAGGATTGGGCTGCGAATTTGGACGATGCACTCTGGACGTACAGGACAGCGTTCAAAACACCTCTAGGCACCACACCTTTCCACATGCTCTATGGAAAGCCCTGTCACCTTCCAGTGGATATCGAACACAAGGCAGCCTGGGTAATAAAGCTGATGAATTTCGACATCAAGTCTGCTGCAGAAAGGAGACTGATACAGCTGAACGAGTTGGACGAAATCAGACACCATGCCTATGAGAATTCGAAACTGTACAAGGAGAGGACCAAGGCGTATCACGATGCAAAAATCCTCTCCAGGCAATTCGAACCGAATGATCAGGTACTTCTGTATAACTCTCGTTTGCAATTGTTTCCTGGTAAACTTCGTTCTCGATGGTCAGGTCCTTTCATAGTCAAAGAGGTTCGCCCCTATGGTGCCATCGTCCTCCTCACACCAGATGGCAACAGGGAGTTCACAGTGAATGGACAAAGGGTGAAGCACTACTGGACCAAAGCTGAGATTCCAGATGGACACATCGTTCCTCTGGACGGTGCACCTCCTGCTTGAATCACCATCAAGTCAAGCTAATGACTTTAAACAAGCGCTTGGTGGAAGGCAATCCACTGGTGAGTCTGTAAATAAGTCTTTTGTTTCAGTGATTTTCGTTTTTCTTTTCGTGTTTTAGGTGAAACAGGGCTGGTGTCGAGCGACACCATACTCGGTGTCGAGCGACACCATACTCGGTGTCGCTTGTCACTTGTTCTATTAAAAAAAAAAAAAAAATTAGGACCAAGCTTAACCGGAATTCCAGAACCGGAGTGGAATCGGGAGCAGATCGGGCACGAGGAAATACCATTCACACTTTGCAAGTGTTGCTCGCCACTCACAAACAGGTAAGTTCCCTTTTTCCCACTTTTATTTAAAACCCTCACCCTCACACCCTTTTCTCCCTTCCTCCTCGCCGCACTCGACACTTTCACCATACCCACCCTCACCAAAACCCAAAATTACTCAAATCTTCACCGATTTGAGTGATTCCACAGCCTAACCTCATCAGATTTTCACCATCTATCTGTTTCTCCCATCGATTTGCCGTTCAAACAAGGTACACAACTCGAATCTCCACTTTTTCGATTTCGGTACCTCAGGTATGTTTGTCGAAACTGCTCTTTTTGGGTTGATGCTCTGCTCGATTTTGAATATGGCGATCCACTTAGGGCAGATTTCGACCACCCCCACGCGCTTTAAACGGTTCATTTGTCTAGATTTGAGAAATTCATTCTTCATGCCAACTTTACTTCAAAAAACAAATTTCGGGTGTGAAGTTTGTTTTGGATTTAGGGAGATTTCTGAATGCATGTGTAGCTGGAATCATTGCTGTTGCTCACTAGGCTTGCTGGAGTAAATCAATTGTGCTATCCACATTCGCTGACTTGGGACTCTTTTCTTTTGTTGGTTTGCTCTGTTTCTTCTTTTGTAGATGCCTCCACGCAAGCGCGAATGCAGGGACGCCGCCTCCAGTTCGCAACCTCCAGTCGAAGTGCCTTCAAACTAGGGGACCATGTCGAAGTTTTGGATGGTGACTTGTGGCAACGTGTGATCATCAGTGCGGTACTCGCACGATCTCGCTACATGTCAAATTCCACGACTCCCAGGAGTTGCAGGTGTTCCCGACATCCCATCTTCGCCCTGCTGCACCACCACGAACCTCCGCCTCACCTCCACCATCGCCTCCTGCAATCCCTGACTCACCTGACATGAGGATTAGGCGCCCTTGGCCTAAACGGGAGAATCTGCGCATTCCAACACGCAGGATCTGGGACGAGCCACCTCGAGCTGTTGCTGAGAGCATTGAGTGTCTACACAGGCCGATTTCAGATGACTGGGATGATTACGACACTTTCTTCTACAACGCCTGGCTGAATGTGAAGCTACTCCCCACCAGGTTTCTGGACATTCTGGATATGAGGCGTTTAGGTTTGGATTCTGAGCTCCTGCGTTTATTGGCGAAGCTTGGATTGGGATCTATGGCTACCAGACCCTACGATTTGTTTCCCGACCTTGTTCGTCAGTTCCTAGCCTCTGTTCGCATCTACTACACCAACAAACATGCTCCGAACGCGCAGGAGGGCACTCTGACTTTCATGATCTGTGGAGTTCGTTACAGGCTTCCTTTTTGCGACCTGTGTACCATATATGGGTTTCGCAAGGACCTCCCGAGAGGTAGCCTTCCTACTCAGATGTTCGATGTGCAGGATTTCTGGTCCCATTTTGGGAATGGACGCTACGATTCGAAGACTACGTCCCAGACCGACGTGCGCCACCCTGTTCTGCGATGCCTCCTCCGTGTCCTAGGCAACACCATTCAGTGCAAGTCGACTCCGGCTAAGATGCGTCTCTCGGAGTTGGCTCTTCTCTATGTTGCCATTGGTGATTTGACAGATAGTGAGCATTACCGGAGTTCTGCGCACGCTACTGATGTCAACATGGGAGCTGTTTTCGTTCATCACTTGGTTTCTTTGCAAGCCAAGCCTTTTTCTGGAGCAGGTACGACGCAGCGGACTGAGTCTGTAGGTAGCTTACTGACCCCTATCTTCCAGCATTTTAGGATCAGCACGGAAAACAGCACAGCGCCATCGTCACGACTCGCCGTGCTATTGATTTGGATCACCTGCGCCATGCCTCTTGGATCAACCACAACCATCAGTGGTCTTTTTGCACTGCAGCTGGTTCTTTCCGAATTCAGCTCCCTGATCGTGCACACACTGACATAGGCACCGAATGCGCTGCGCTTCGTTTTGTGCCAGAGAGGAGAGTCGTGATCACTGTGTCTCGCGGTTCTTCTTCCAGAGCTCGTGCTTCCACTTCCGAGGACGACCAGATACCTCGCTCCGCAGACACTTCAGTACCTCTCCCTGATCTTCCCACTGAGCCAGAGGTTCCCATGGAGGCTGCTTCTTTCCAGCGGTATGTCATCCAGAGTTTTCAGAGCATCTGGAGCGCCATCGCTACTCTCTCTCGCTGTGGATGTGTTCGCACTACTCGCCCACGATCTCGCTCACCCACACCCTCTGGTGATGACACTGCTACTAGTGATGAGGACTAGTTCCTCCGTCATTCTGGTTCTGTTTTTCTCTTTTCTTTTCTTTTCGTTTATCTGAGTATGTTGTGTCCGCTACACTTGTTGTGAGACTTTGTTGGATTTATGCTTTTATGGGTTGTATTGTTACTGCTAACTTCTTTCTAAGTGATCTTACAGTGCTAACCTAGATGATTCTCTGTCCTGTTTGGTGGACTCTTGTGTCTCTAATCGCGACGATTGCTCTCTGCACTGTGGTGTCGCGCGACACCATCATTGGTATCGCTCGTCACCACCCTCGCACTTTCGACCTAAGCTTGTTTTCATCTGAATCTGAGTTGTGTGCTGGTCGACCTAACTGAGTAGTAAGATATTCTAACCCATTGCATTCCTCCTTCTGACTTTCTCTTTTGTCACCAACTTCGGATTTGATCACACTGGAGACAGTGTTATTCAAGTCTGGGGGAGGTAGTTGCTGACATTGTGTCTGTTTTTCTTAAGAGTCAGTTGTGTCAAAACGTTTTTGAGTCAAAACCTGTTGGAGATTATGATGCTTTTCCTGGAATTATTGTGCTGACCTTTCATCTAAGTGACCACTGCTGCAGATTCAGTCTAGATCCAACTAATGAAAAATCCAAAGGCTGACCAGTTGACTAGAGGCGTCCATGTTTCCAACAGAATCCACTAACCTGAGCTAAGTTCTGAACTTCACTTTTAACTCGTTGATGTGACTAATGCCTTAGAGCTTGATTCCTCGTTCGTACTTGATCAATGAAAGCCTGTGTGAAATTTAATGTTGATGTTTCTCTCCCTGTGACGAGCTAAGAAGAAGAAAAAGAAAGAAAAGGGCGAAAAGATTGAGATGATTTTCGCTTAGGAGTGAAGGGCTAGGAATGTATCCAATGATCCCATTATTTCACTTCTAAGTTGGAATGATCACACGGAAGGAAGTGAGGGGTAGGAAAGTTTCCCACGACCCCATTATTCTCTGAAAACCTTTGATACAAGGTAAGGGGACAACTCGGGGACTCGATGGCAAACACCATCAGTACTCACAGCTTTATTCTTATCGAGTATATGCCATAAAAAAGGAGAAAAGAAAAAGATGATGAATGTGCGAAAAGAACAATTCTGGGGGAGAGAAAAATATCAAAGTTTGTATGGCTGATTTGTTTGAGTACAGTACGGGAAAGAATCTAGAAGGTTCTTGGCATCTGAATCATCAGTGCGATCCAGCGATGAGGGTTTATGGACAATGTTGTGAAATTTTGGACTTAATCTGGGAAGCTGTGAATGTCTGCGGAGAAGTACATGGTGGTTCGATTTGGAGTGATGAAGCAGTAGTTGAGTTGCAGGGTGATTGGTCAAAAGCGATGTTCCAATGAAAGGTTGAGTCTCTGCGTTTTCAAACCTCTTTCTCTTATTTGGTGTTCTGTTTGCTTGAGGGCAAGCAAATGCTAAGTCTGGGGGAGTTGATATATCATGGTTTTTATGGTTTTTAACCATGGTATATGTCTTATTTATAGAGTCTTTTTAGTGTCTTTCGAGTCTTTTGGAGTCTTTTCAGGTCATAGGTACGTTTGGAGCTTAACTGGAGACTTTGGAGGACTTTGGAGCTTAATCAGGATCAAATTCGTCAAGTATGGATTTTGTGCCTTAGTGTCGCTCGACACCATGGAGAGTGACGCTCGACACTTGTCAGAGAAATAAGGACAAAGCGATTTTGTTTCCTATTTGAAGAAGGAGTTGGGCCCAAACATTTTCAAGGAAGCCCAAGACGTGTCTTAGAGATATATATAGGATTTTTATTCCCTTTTTACGATGACCTTAGATTTTTGGAGAGAGAGATACTCTGAGTTTTCGGCTTTTGCGATTTCTGAGCTTGGGGAGACAAGTCTGAACTCTGTTCGTTTAGAGAGAAGATTTCGAACCCCTCTATCTATTTCGATTTAATCTATTATTTTCTATTCATCATGTTTGTTGTTTCAATAACCATGTCTGAGTAGATCACCTGTTAGGTTTAGGGTTTAATTAGGGTTTTCTCTGAATGTTCGATTAACTTGCTAGTTAGGGTTCATATCTATTTGTTCTTCATCTTAGGTTGTTCTTAAAGCTAATTCTAGATTGATCACCTAGAACTTAGATCTTAGGTTGCTTAATTGACACGGAAGTGTAATTGAATAACTGGAAAGAACCTAGGTGAGCAAAGTAGCTATTCGCACAGGAATTTGGTTTAGTTTCTTTGTGAACATATCGAACTTGTGCATTAAGGCTGGTTTAAATCTGTAGGATTTGCAAAGGAATTTGGGATTCTAGGATTTTAACTTAGATAATTCTCACAACGGAAGTTGGTTAATTATAATTTTGTGTTTCGAGTTCAAGAACCGAGCTTAATAACTGAACCCTGATTAGTTAAGTTGATCTGCATTCATTGATCTCCTGAAAACGCCCTAGACCTAATCCTTATCACATCGAATTTACAAACCGTTTTCTTTGCTGCTTTATTTATTTATGTCGCATTGCTATTTGTTTCGCGTACTTCGGCTTAGTGTAACTCCATCTACATAAGGTTTATTGAGTGATCTCTAGCCTCTGTGTCGACCCCTAGATACTACAACTGCACATCTGTGCTCTTGCAGAGTAGCTTAGGAATTAAACTTTGAGCAGATCACACACTTACTCCGATTATTCTTTATTTGTTTACAACAAAAATGGCATGTTTCTTCGTATTCTGGTGTATGTCGACAACATCATCATATCTGGCAACTCTCCTGAAACCATTAAAACATTCAAGAACTATCTTTCCACATGGTTCCACATGAAAGATCTAGGATTTGCCAAGTATTTCCTCGATTTGGAAATTGCACGGAGGCTTTGGGTATATATCTTTGTCAGCGGAAATACGCTTTAGACATTATCGCAGAAGCAGGTCTTCTTGGATGTAAACCGATGGGATCCCCTATCGATCAGAATCACACTCTTGGCCGAGCTCTAGGTGCTCTACTCGCAGATCCGGAAACATATAGGCGCTTAGTAGACGCCTTATATACCTGGGTGCTACACGACCGAACCTCTCATATTCGATTCACATTTTATCACAGTTCATGCAAGCTCCTCGTGTAGATCATTGGCATGCTGCCTTGAAGGTTGTACGCTATTTAAAAGGGACAGCAGGTCAAGGTATTCTCCTCTGGGCAGATACACCTCTTCATGTACGTGGTTGGTGCGATTCAAATTGGGTGGGTTGTCCTTTAACTCGTCGATCACTTACTGCATGGTTCATTCAACTTGGTGATTCTCCGATTTCTTGGAAAATACGTAAGCAAGATATTGTTGCAAGTTCCTCTACAAAAGCCGAATATCGCGCGATGGCTTATCTTACTTCGGAGTTGAAATACATTAAAGCTTTACTTCTCGAGCTTGGTGTTTCGCATGATGATCTGATGTCCATGATGTGTGATAGTAAACCTTCCATTCACATCAGCGTGAATCCTGTTTTCATGAACGAACTAAAAATGTTGAAGTTGACTGTCATTTTGTTCGCAATGATATCGTCAAAGGGACTGTTAAACCATTTCACGTTTCGACAAAAGACCAACTGGCTGACATTCTTACGAAAGCTTTGGGCAAGAGAGAGTTTGATGCATTTTTTCTCAAGTTGGGCATTCGGAACTTACACGTTCCAACTTGAGGGAGGGTATTAGGAAGAGATAACTACGTATCTCCTAGAATTAGGAAAATATCCATTTGTATCCAAAATCACTTTGTTCCACATCATGAATTATGTTTCTTAGACACATATCTTTTTGTATATAAACACAATATTGTGCAAAAAGTTTGTCAGATTTCTAACCTATAATTTGGTTCGTAAACGTCACGACAACAATACCTCAAGATTTTGTAGATACGGCAAACTTTGTTGTTGTTTTGGTATCCTAGAGCAAACTTAGAGTAACCTGTGTAACTATTTTTGTGTTGGATCCACCTGGTCTCCCCCAAACAAGGATTCCAAACCACAAATCTATAGTCTTTGGTGGTGCATAACAACAAACCATCGCAATGAGACACTTTGCCTATATGGACTTCTTCTAGATAAGGATGGGAATCTCTTAGGCTAAGTGAGCCCTTAAACGCTATAGATGGAGGAGCTACGTTGAGATAGACGCTCATTGGAAAAACTCGATATTCCTTCAATATGAGAAGCTGAGACTTCTTTGCAGCTTTACAAAGGTGCTTCTTGGCGAATCTTTGGTCTTTGAGTAAAGCGTTCCATCTTTTGCAAGTAGATTGTCGTCCTTTCAAAGACGTGGTTGAAACCTTGGAGAGTATTTCCTCTAACAAATCCTGAGGAACATCCGACATCATCTTTTCTCTTGTAATCTCTCCCAAGGAAGAGAAAACGAACCAAGCTCTTTAAAAGAAATTAGGGTTTTATCTTTTCTGTTCTTTCTCTGTACGTTTGCTCTGAACCAATCTTGTATTATACATACAGACATCCGCTCCAAAATACTATTTCCTTTTCATATGTGGATTCTATACTAATTTTACTTTATTTTTTTCATTCCTTCAATTCAACTTCGTAAATGTAAATAAATAATCTAATTTGCCTACAAAAATAAAAGAAAAGAAATGTCTTAATCATATTTCATCAAGACTGGAAGATCCTAGTAACGATTGTATATACTCTGCATCCTCAACTTCAATTAAAAATAAACAAATTATAGAAGGAACAAAAAGAAAGATGAAGAAAAGAAAAAAAGAAAAAAAGAAAAAAACTCAGATCCTTATCGTTGGAGTGAGTCTACAAGTGATGAGAAATTCTGTCATATTTTTCCTAACTTCCTGAGCGTAGCTTTCTTAGAGAAGCGCGTCTACGAGATCTTTCTTTTCCATCTGTAAAACTCAAAGTGTTGTGTTACCAAAACCATCAAGCACATGTTTCATGCAAAAAGTGTAGTGATCATGCAAGCAATAAGCACTTACCTCTTGTCAATCTTCCAGATGCAAGTAAAGCTTCTTCGGCCATTCCTTTCCACTGTTCTGCGCACGAGTAATTAACTCCCATTCCTACACTGAGTCCTCTTAACAGAACTACAGTGCGTAGAACAGAGAACAGTTCCTCTGGAAATGCCTTTGAACAAAGAACACAATTACAGGTAGAACAAACAACTTTTTTACTTGGTGACTATTCATTGTCTTCTCACCTCAACGGCTATCTTCTTAATCGAAGAGTCATCTGCGAAAGGTTGCAAAACTGTCTGACCAGCTGGCATCTTTGTATCGAAAAGGGTTTGTGCTAACACAAGAAGCTCTTGCTGCTCATTCTCACACTTGGCCACTGTGTGTAAACCAAGTTCCCTGAACATCCACAACCGCAATAGTTATTGAGTTTCATGCTACACTAATTCGACCAACTGATTTTGACTATTCCAGCCGAAGAACTTTGTAGGGACAAGGAACTATCACAATCTTGGACATAAAAATCACTTGCTAACATAAATTTCCACCATGCCTAGCTTCAAAACAGTTCCGACTTCCGACATACCAAAGTATTCAATTTTAAGTACTTTGGTGGAATCATATGGTTTCACCTTTTATGTCCTGGTTATTATTGAAACATCTATCTCAAAAGGAAAACATTTGCTAACGAGAATATTGGCTTTGAGCCACGAAGCTGATGATATGTTTGAGCAAAATCAACAATCAAGATCACAAAGTTACTTCAGTAGCGTAGGGAAGGTATTGATAAGTTTTGAGTTACCTAAAGCTCTGCGATACTCGTGAAGCATTGTTATCAGCCATGTCAATGACCAAATTCGCATAACCAAGTCTCAAGTTGTCAGGGAGTTCCTTTACTTGACCATAGTCCAACAATGCAACCTGATGACGGGAAACAATACAACGACTCAGACTATATAGACAGGAAGGCTTTGCCAATAGATCACACCAAGCAAATTAAGGAACTACTAAACAAAAACTACAAGGGAAATACGACTTGCCTCTGGACCTTTACAAATCAAGATATTTCCGGGATGTGGATCCGCATGAAAGAAACCACTTTTCAGTATCATTTGGCCATATGCACGGGATAAACTGTTGAGTATATTGCTGTGGCAAGAAGAAAACAATATAATTCAGTATATTTCTAAATGCAAGCCAATATAAAATGTTGGTTTCTAGAGGATAATAGTTATCAAGACTATCGGCCAAAGAACTAAGGCACTATACTCTCTAAAGATGATGTAGGAGCTTACTGCTTTGCTGCCTCTGCAATCTTACCATGAGGATTGATTCCTCTTCTAGCCATCTCATCACCAAGGCTCAGGATTGGAATCCCATCAATGTATTCCATAACCAGAACCCTCCTGCACGAATTTTGATTGTTCGTATGGTAAGTACTTGATAATCAACTGAAGCAAAAATGAACAAATCTTAGTTAGATTGAGATTCGAGTACGCCAATAAATGACAGAGGACCCATGAGTTCTTGTAAAATGATAGGGAGAGTTCCAAGAATAACCAAATCAGGTATATGATTTCCGAAAGTAAGAACAATTACTTAGTCACCATATCTCGCAGAACCCTTGGAACCACAACAGGAAACCTTTTGTTGTTCTCATAAAGAAAATGCCGAATTCTTTCCATTGCATTGGCCTCCCTTTTGAAGTCAAATTCATAACCAATCTTGAAAAAAAAACGCATAGAGATGTTGTGACTTGGACAAAAAGACGAAGTCTTATTAGCTATCTAACAAAGAACCGGACTGATAAATACCTGTTTCTCCATTTCCTTTGTTATAGAGTGCAGGTCAAACTTGATATCTGTTCTTTGCATGTATAAGGCAAATAGTTGCATGTTTCTTATATCTGTCATCATCAATCTTTCGATGCCAGGATGTTGAACCTAAACACGTGGTATCAAAGTTAGAATCTAAATAAAAAAAGCTGGAAACTTTTAGTTGTCCCATGATTATGCTCACCTTTACAACAACATTCATCTTGTCACCCTTTACTCTCGCTTTGTGAACCTAATAAGAGAAACCAAAGGATATGTATCACAGACATAGATTCTCATAACTTATTTCTTATAAAAACTAATAGCACGGTCATTGTGTTCTGACTCCCATTTACAGCGAAACCATCACAGGAAAAAATCAATAAATCACAAGGTTGGGACATAAATTAACAATGCTATACTCTAATTCTGAATTTTCAAGCATCAATGGTAATACCGAAGAGATTCTCAGCAAGAAGAATACTTATCATCCTCTCTCCTTAATGTCACACTCAAAAACTATCTTCTTTTTGGTGTTTGCTCTTTTACAACATATATGGTTCCATAATTGGTCCATCACCATCAAGCTTCCAAATTCCAGTCATTTACTCTCTCTCAACTAAGCTTATTTAATCGAAAGGATTCTAGGAAAACATGTAATACCTGAGCAATAGAAGCGGAGCCAAGAGGCTTTTCATCAAATCTTTCAAAGATTTCACCAATGCTTTTACCTAACTCCTCCTTCAGAACACGTTGAACCGCATCGAATGGCGTTGCAGGAGCTTGATCACACAAAGTGACAAGCTTTCTCACCCACGCAGCTGGGGCCATGTCAGGTTTTGCTAAAAGTTGAGCAATCTAAAAGTTTGCACAATCAGACAAGAGACAATGTACATTCTTCTCAACACAGAAACAAGCATTAAATGCAATAAAGCCAAAATATTAAATTCAAGAACCAATCAATTGATCTACAAGAAGAAGAATCTGACTTGTAATTTTCACCTTAAGGAAGAATCCGCCAAGATCAGAGCACATGAAGTAAATTTTTTCAGCAGCTTGCTCGTGTTGTCTCTCCCACATTTCCTCCCGTCTCTTTGCATCCTTAACCAAACTCACTCGAAGTTGAAACACCTGAATCAAAGCAAAAAACAGAGACGAAAGCCCAATTCATAAATCTTGAGAGATGAAGGAGAAGACTTTAGATTTATGGTAACAAAAATAAGATGAAAAGAAATACCATCGAAGAGAGACCTTGTAACCAGTGTAGACATCGGTAGCTCGAACCCAGAATTGAAATGATCGTTGCCATGGACGAAAGCTCTCGGAGATCTTCCCCTGAATCTCTTTGAAATCGAACCCAGGCATCGTTTTATTAATCTCAATTTGAGGAAATTTCTGGAAGTAGATTACAATCTTAAAGGGAACGTATAAAAAATGGCTGCGAGAGACCACTAGAGAACGATGAAAGCGATCCTGGGAAAGAGGACAGAACAAAGTTGCTAGCTTTCGGCGTTTAGCTACGAGCCTACGACAACGAGTACAACCAATAGTTATCCATCTCAAATTCTCAATTACCGGTTTTAACCAATTGGGGAATACAACTAATTGTCTGGCTGGCCAATTTTTTTTCTGATGATTACTATACTATTTTTATTATTTGTTTGGCGTACTTTTATTTATTTTACAAAATTAATTTAGTATATCCAAAACACTGTTTTCGCTTTTGTTGGAAAAAACCTAATTACGAAAATGCCATTATTTTTTAATGCCACATAAGCAAAAAATAGCGCTGAAAAAATGATAAATCTATTAGACTTTGGTGGTAAACTTAACAAATTTTGGTCAACGCAAAAATTTGGATGGTAGAGTTGTTAGGACGATGGTAAATTTATTTGAGTGTTGATAGATTTATTAAAAATTAGTAGACTTTTCTTGGTAGGCTTTTGACAATGAGTAGATTTATTAAGTTTCGATAGATTTATTGTTATGTATAGCACACTTGACAAATATGTTGGTAGACTTGTTCAGGAAATCGTTGACTTACTCGCATAGTTGACTCTGTAGATTTGTTGACAATGTGGTAGATTTAATTCCTGAATTGGTAGACTTATTTTCTTTGGTGGTAGATTTATGTAACAAAGTTTTCCATAACGTGACGGTAGACTTACTCCTTTAATGGTAGATTATGTTTGAAATTGGTAGAATTATATATAGTTGGTAGATTTTTCACTTTTGTGGTAGATTTGTTTGTTTTGTGGTAGATTTACATTCAAGTAAAAATTTGGTGATTTCCTTCCGTTAAGTGGTAGATTAACTGTTACATGACTTATAAAATGTTGGTAGATTTATTCGTTGGTTTGGTAGATTTTAAATCAATTGGTAGAGTTATTACACGTACGGTAGACTTCTATTGAGCATCATGTGGTAGATTAAATAATTTTGGTATTTACTCAGATAACCTCGATCTGGTAGATTTATATGGTGCTTGATGGTAGACTTGTTTCTATGGTAGAGATATTTACAATGCTTGCGGTAGACTTAGTTAGATTTTTTTGGGTAGACATTTGACTTTTTCGATTGAAATTACTTATTTGTCCTAAATGTATTCTGCAATCTACGAAAAAACCAAAGGTGCAGCAGACTTTTTTTAGGGTGTCGTACGTTAGACTAGTTCTGTACGTATGGTAGACTTGTTCCATGGTTATTTTTGAGTTGGGTTTATTACCATTGACGTTTTCTTTTCACAAGTTTGATGAGATTATGCTGGTAAATTCTGATACGATCAGAGTTGTTTATTGGGACATAGATCACACTGAAAATGGTACATATATCACATTTTTGCATGAGAAGGAGATAATTGATTAAAGGAACACTAATTCTACTTTGAGTGAACATAAAAATAGCGAAATCATCTTAAGAAGCATAAACTTCCATAAAAAAGTTACATAACAACATTTTTTAGTACTTAAGGAACATTAAAAAGGGATATAACAACATTGAAAAGGGAGATGCCAACATTTCTTAGTACTTAAAAGAACATTAGTTCTACTTAAACATTGGGAAAATTACTTCTACTTAAACATAAAGAGAATGACTTCTACTTATCATATATGATATGACAGCAAACACGAACAAAAATGCCAGCATCAAATACCCATCACCTCAGTTGGCGTTTTGCTCCTTGAGCCAACCAACTTCTCCTTGAAGCTGCCTTATCTCTTCTTTCATTTCTGTAATGTCTCCGAGCGAGCCATTGCTTTCCATCGACCTCTCCAATGTCTCGAAACGAGTCTCCAAAAGAGGATCAAAAGCTTGAAGTCTCTCAAGCCTTTGTAAGTTCTTGTTATGCACCTCAAGTCTGTCTTCACCTGTTCCAATTCCTCTGTAATAGCCTTATCCTACCATTTTCAGATATGTTCTCGACTCTCCTACATACATCAGGCCAGTTTAATGAATTTCATTCTAAACCTATCACACTAATTAACAAAAGGGTTTGTTAATAAAAATTATGACAATTTGCGGTCTTTCCGAAGAACTGCTGCTATAGCTGATCAGCATTGTATGTGTCCATAAAGAAATCGAATTCAACACAAATCAAATGGAAAACTATAAGAACTAACGGAGTAGATGATACAATAAGTATACCATAAATACATAAGTCTACCATTGATGAAAAAAAAAAATTAGGGTTTGTAGCTGCCACCGAC